TGGCTCTCTTGTTCCAGGGTCTCAGATAAAGAATCTTTTGACATATTAACAGAATGTTTGAGAAACTTTGACCGTCTATCATCATCTAACTTCTTGATGTCAGATTCTCTCTCACTACACAAATTGAGATAATGATCTTGTTTGCCACAGTAATGACAGGTTACTACTGGGCTACGATTCTCTGAGAGTGGTTTAGAGAATCGTTTGGTTTGAACAAAAAGAGCTTCTTCATTACCTTTGTTGCTGTACTTGAGTGCCCGTCGACTCTCCATGTGTTGAATTCTTCCCACGAGGACGTCAAGTGGTGGTAACTCGCCACTACCATTGAGCGCTGTGATGAATGATTCGTATGAGTTTGGAAGTGCATTCAACAAAATCTCCACTACATCTTCTTTAGGTCGTTGGCCAGTCGAAATAAGCTGTGAGCGGATCATTTTGAACTCACGAAGGTATTGTTCAATACCGCCATCTTCTGAAACTCGAAGACTCATGAGCCGACTCTTGAGATGGAGTTTTCTAGTAACGTCACATACCTCGTACGACTTCTGCAAGTGATTCCAAGCATCTCTAGGATCCTCAAACTCACTTATCTCAGTTACCAAGTCATCCTTAACTGATACAATGAGGATACACATAGCCTTATCACGACAGTAAGATAGATCAGGATCGTTCACAAGCTTTGGAGTGATGCCTATTGAGCCTTCAATGACTTCATTGTCAATGAGTCTTTCATCATTGGTCACCTCCGCAGCACTTACATATGATGCCCCATCAGTTGGTTGACTTACTGGAAATGAAGACATTCGAAACAATGATGCTCCCAAAGGAACGACTACATCCACACACGTTCCTTCTTCAAATGACTAGTCACACGAATCTACCAGTTGTGATAGTTGAAAGACCTCTGGAAATGAAGACATTCGAAACAATGATGCTCCCAAAGGAACGACTACATCCACACACGTTCCTTCTTCAAATGACTAGTCACACGAATCTACCAGTTGTGATAGTTGAAAGACCTCACAAGCTTGCTGGAGTCTGGGAACGAAGCATCGAATGCTGACATTGGCAAAGCCATCTATAACTTTAAAATGAAAAGAAAGAAAAGAAAGTTGTAGCTACGCTTCACAACTAGCTGCAAAAACTTTGACTAGTACTAGCACTGGAGCAATGCTCACAGTTTCTAACGACGAAGAAAACAAACTGCAAATGTGTGGAGCTGAGGTCACACACTAACCTCTAACGCTTAAACCCAAAAAGAGCCTAACCTCTGATACCATGTAAATTCCACAATGAAACGGAATACAAGAGATGATGAGCTCTGGAGAGAGGCTCATATATATACAATCGATGCACTCACTAAAGATAGTGAGGAGCAAACTACACCACCTAAACAGGTCCACGGTGGTGTCCCTTCGATACACGAAACAACAACTCAAGATAAACTCTACACTATTACTAACGCTGGTGCATTGCATCAACAAGAATTACATTAGTTTCGCCAAGTTCATGGATACACTAATTGAGGACCTGTCGACACTTCTCTTCAAAGCATTGAGCATTCATCTCGCAGTCCATATCTGCAGATTCACAATAAAATGTTAAGGGAATTTCGTACGAATTTATATCTCCTTTCACGAATAGCTTGTGTCAGGAAGGTGACAGTATGTGTGGGGCTAAATCGATGCATATCATGAGCACAACAAGGCTCTGGATGCATGATGTCAACAGGGTTCAGAAATATGCACACAAGATTATTCATAAAATCTTATAGTCCAACTGGATTTTGTTCATACCTGCTTCTCCGTTTCTCATGTCGTTCCTATATACTTCTACATGGCTGTTTAATATGAGCACGCAAGATCTTCCGCAGCGAAAGTCGAAAGATTTAGCGGCTATCCACTGAGTTCCTCCTTTCTCTAGATTGCAATTGTCGTCGGATTTCTTTGCCTGTGAAGTCGCAAAATGCCTTTCATTCGTTGTTTATAGATATACCAGGTCTCTGCTTCCCACACGAGCTGCAAGCTACCCAGATTCGTTGGTGGTATTTCAGAGCTTCAGGGTGTTCATACATCCATGCGTGGAAGGAGACGAACCAGAAAGTCTCCTATGCAACAGAAGAAAATTTTTTCCACGTCTGCATGTCCACGTCTTGAAACTTCGATATCAAAGATATGTGAGCATTCTCAGTCTTCCTCCCCTCGCAGTGATCTGAAAAAATGAGGCATCCCGAATGCTCCGAGGTCACTGAAGTGAAGGCTTGTTAAATCATCGTCAAAGCAGTCCCACTGTGGGCAAGCACTCGCTTGACATGTGTTACATAATCCAATCTACGATTCTTCTATCGCGTCTGCCGCCGTACACTCTGTTGCCGCACACCTTAAGTCTCTGCTTTCAGGAGTTCTCATTGACGAAACATAATTATTATTTGTACAACATAGAGAGACAGCTTTTAGCAGATATCCGTCCGACCAGTCGTGACTCTGATCTGTGCATTCCAGATTCACAGAAACAGGGCCACCAGTGAAGAACATGACACCAAAGAAGCCGAGCGGTTTACACCCACTCTCGGGTACTCACGTTGCTTTCCACTTACCTCTCGGAAAATTCTTGGAAACGTCTCTGGTTGAAATGCTTATTACGTCAATCATGAAATGGAGGCCTTATGGATTTCTTCCATGTTTGAATCGCTTGCTGACTCTGAGAAACAGTAGCACCAGCTAGTGAAAGGTGCACAGCACAGTCTTCACTATCCGGGGCACAGAGCATCAACACAGAATTCATGAAAGATATGGTCCGATGCTTGACCACCGTATACCATCACGAGAATAACCTCCAATGGAGACGGTAGATTCTGAGTATGAAGTTCGAAGCCGTGTTAGTTAATCATTGCAGGATTTGCCGAATAAGTCGAACGTCATTGGAGGTCCATCCAGTAGAAACGTATGCGTGCTTCAAGCCCAGCAGCAATAGATTTCGGAGTGTGTGCTCATTTCATGTGAAGCTACTGTTGTTTGCAACTCAAATTCGCTGGCCGACCATGATCACCGGGAAGGTGCCCATAAACGGCCTTACAACTATCATTCACTGTAACTGCTTTGGAGACTTCTCTTCCGATTTTCAACAAGCCATTCTAACGTTATTTTAGAAGGTTTTCGCAAACGTTGTACCTACCACGTGGATATGAAAAAAATAAAAATTGTCATAAAGAATGTCTCGAAGCTTCGCACCACCCGAAGCTTGGAGACTGAAGGTCAAACCAAAGTCAACAGCATGTTGAAAGAAAGAAGACGAAGCCTGTTCTAGATCGCAAAAGGTCAGCGCCTGGCAATAAACTTGTCTAAAGTCATTGTGTGACTTAAGTATCAAGGTCTGTTCATTGGTTTGCTTGATGTTTATCCATGTAAAAGTCTCTTCACAGCAGCTTCTAATTTGTAGGCCGTTCCGTAAGGAGATAGTTCTCTCTCTCTCTCTCTCTCTCTCTCTTCACGACTCTGCTCTTATCCGTATGGAGGACTTTACACCCTTTTTGAACTGAGAGTCTCGAACGCAAGCCTCGACATGTTTCAGCAGATAATTAAAGCTTACGACGCCTTCGAAAAGACGAGATCCAAAGGTCCACAAGGGCATCAACCCCATTCCCTAACTTTGTCAATATCAGTGTAGAGGAAGATCTGAAGGCGGAAACAAGCCAAACTTAGTAAATGGGTACCACATCGTACACTTCACACCTTGAAGCAAGCAAATGGTGGGTTTCTAAATTACAGGATTCACATTCTGTGAAATCCATTCGAGAAGACGAGCTTCACTCGTCGCAACTCCCAATCACATCATAAACTGATGCACAAACACAAGATTCACTGAAGGATTCTCATCAGGTCACCATGACAGATAGTTACATGTTATACGGAGTTCCAGTCTGCGACTTGTGTATAGTTTAGCGAAAATACAACCATCCCTGGACGCTACGACAGCTGCTCAAGTCCTGTTAAAAAAAAAACCGGAAATCAGATGCTAATGAAACTGAGTCGAAATTTTACGAGAAGGAACACGTCTGGCGCCACACGAGAATTCCGAGGGATATCCATCAGATGGATTTCAGTTTTCTGAGTCTCTGTCATACCACCTCCCGTGATTTTCCTCGAAGGAATCCCTATCCCGGGAGGTAAGAAGAAATTCCTCGAGCTGTGTAGCGTGAATCGAGATTCCATTCTTGTGGGAGTTGATATTGCAGCACTTGGGACACTACGTGCTTCACGTAGTGCCACTCTTCCCGACTCTTGGGTAAATGCGAAAGAATGATCAGCTCAATATATGATCTCGTAATTGCCAGAAATCGGTATCGTGGAACATGGTCTCAAACCCTTTCGTTATGATGTATTCACGTGAACCTCTCGGATTGTAACCCCGTACCTTCATGTTCCTTTCCGAGTCTGTTTATGTCCATTCATTGAATCTTGAATTGCAGCTCTACTGCCCGCATTCCTCTCGTTGCACGAGCCCAATCCCAAATCAAATCATGTGCCACGACAAAATACGTGACCGGCCCGTCCACCATCCGCTTCTCCGCACCTGCTTGAAGGCTGGCAAGGCTCCGAGAGTCGTATATCCACCGCCAACCTCAGAGGCTATCTATCAATCATCACCGAACTACATACAACTTCCCACGTTCCTGCATAGTCCCCTGCACGACCGCAATTTGGCAAGCTGGCCTGAGCTCCGGGGTTATACCTGAGGGGATTTCTGCACGAGGTTAGAGCGGTTTCCTTTACTTCCAAGTACGATGGTACTCATCACGGCTCAGATTGGCAGATCAGGCCGTTTTAGGGCTCGGGATGGTCGGTCGTGCCCATCATCGTTCAACAGCATCGGTCTCAACAACTCTCGCCCGGGGGTGGGGCCGTGACATAGAGGACGCAGACAGGTGTTAGTCGAGGAAGACGTGATGACCAGTTCCATCCCGCTCGATAACCAATTGCGAGCGAGGAGAAGAGCATACACTCTGAAACGATCGGCTTTATTCTTACACATTGCTGATCGACTGTAATATCATACAACACTTGAGCGGCGGCAGCAGCCGCAGTGGCGTGCTTGCTGTCTCGATGAGGAGGACAGCAGCAGCAGCAGCAGCAGAGGAAGAAGAAGAAGCCGCTGCTGCTGCCGTCAATTGGTCATGTGCCCATCATGTACATGAGTGGTCTGTTCTAAACGCTGGACTGAAAAGAGCTGGGCTGCTTCGTGAGCCATTTTTTCTTACCAGAATAAATCAAATCGGTTTGTGAATGACCAGGAAAGAACGAAACTAACTAACTCTATGTGTGAGGTGAGTACTCACGGTCGACATCACTCGGAGCATGTGGTGCCCATCTCTTCAACTCACTTTAGTTCTTCTCCATCATCTGCAATCCCCATAGTTGCTTCTCTCTGCGATCACATTTTATACTAAACGAACATATCGGGCTGTCGTAGTAGTATGTGTGGAGTGTTATGGATGCGTTCACATCCTCCTGCTACTTGCTCTACTGTCGGACGAAGAACATGTCTCACTACGTTGTCGGTCTTCTCCACTCCTCACAATCCTGTTGAGAATGAAAAAGTCCACATCGAGGAGGAGAGCCTTGCAATCATCGACTGTCACCTCCTTTCCTCTCAAGGCACCGTCCCTCTCTGCACAGACGTGTAACTCTCGGAAGATGACGCCGACGCCGACGACGAAGACCTTCGACTTCTCCATCGTCCCAGCATCCATCTACGTTGATCTCTCTCGAAGGGATCTGTCACCTGCAAAGGCCAGATCAGTCCGGTCCAGCGAGGGCGTGAACCGGGTTTCATCAGCATCAGGATTGCAGAATGCAGTTGAAAGTAGTGCTGCCTGTTCTGTCGTGTCCGTTCCTGTCGAGTCCAGTTTCCTTTCGAATCCAATCCGTCGGTTGCGTTCGGGTGCTGTGCGATGCACTCGTCATTCTTTCACTCTCTCCCTGTCCCTCTCGCTGTCCATCCGTGTGTGGAGAGGCTGGGGCTCACTAACCTCAGCTGCTGACATTCTGCAGCACGACGAAGAAATGCAGAACTCGGCGCTGCTGCTGAGAATCTGCGACATGGCTGACTTGGACGACGAAGAGGAAGACGACGATGAGGACGACGACGATCCCGCATCGCCTTTCTCGCCCTTGAGATGCTCTGCCCCTCGCCTCCCGCTGCCACTAGCGCCCATCAGCACGTGCTCCATCTGCTTCCGTCGCACCGTTAATATCCGAATCAACTTCTCTCTCGAGGTCCTCCGCTCCATCGATTCCGATCGATCGATCGATCACTCGCTCCCCCAAATCTGTCTTTCTGTCTGTCTGTCTGTCTGAGCTGCAATACAAATGCCTCCCTACCTGCCTGCGTTCCGTCGTCTAAATTGGCAATCCCGTGCTGCTGCTCGAGCGAGCTCCTCTTCCTCCTGCCCCTGCGCCTCCTCCTCCACACTTGAGCTCGGGCTGCTGCCGACTTCCGCCGGTGGATGCCAGACACTCACACGGCCCCGAAATCGCACGAACAGAAAACAAATATAAATACAGAGTCAGCAAAGTTCTGCATAAGCCCTGCAGACGACCTCGGCCGCGGTCCGGGCTCAGCGTGAACAGCATTCTCCGTCCCGCGAATGTTCATGCGGTCGTCTCCCTCGGGAATTACGTGCGGGCTGAATCGAATAATGGAGGCGGACGACGGAAGGAAGGAAGGAAGGAAGGAAGCCCACCAACCTTCGGCAGAAGTCCGCGGTTTAATGCGAAATCTTCCAAAGGGGCAAGATTGGATCAGGACGTGGAGGAAGTCGTCGGGTCGAGATGATCGGCACCGAGCGCAGCGTTCAGCATGAGAAAGTCCACGAGCGGATGGAGGGAAAATTTAGAGCGCTGGCGACTCGGGAGACTGTCGGGGTCCACTTTCTAGAAGATGTCGGGCTCGAGAACTTACTTCCGTGGACTCGCTCTCTCGTTCGATGGGCAGGGCGGACGGAGTGCCCAGTGAGAGCACCGACTTCCGCTGACCTGTGGCCGTCAGTCTGAGCGCGCACTGGCCGTGTGAGCTACGTTGGTCCCGTTCACACCACCCAGCCTGCTAACGAAATTCCTTCGTGACCATCGTCCACGCACGGCCGATGGTCAGCTCGGGTCCAGCACGGCCGGCATATACGAGATTCTCTGGCTGTCCCCTCCAATCGCCTCCCTCCCTCTCTCCCCTTCTCTTCTCGTCCCGTCCAGCCCTGTCCGGTCCCTGCCTGGCTCCCCTCCCGTCCCTCCATCCTTTTCAATTCTACTCGTCTGTGCTACATTTCATCTTCCGCCACCGTGAGGTCATCCTTTGATTTATTCCTGCCTGGTCTCCGATCCGAGCCGTGTTGCAGGCTGGGTCCAGGTCGTAGCATCAGAGCTCAGGATGCAGCAGTCTTTCTGGAAAGGGCCTACAGTGACATGAGCAAAGGACGTGGATGGAAGTAGTGTAAGAACTTGTGTAAGAACTCTAGAGAGAGAGAGAGAAAGAGAGAGATGGAGATAAACCCTTGGCTGTAGCATAATCGAATCCTCGGTCTCGTTGTACTGTGAGCGTTTATAACGCCGAGAGAAGAATCTTGTCAAGCAAATGTCATCTCATGTCTGCCGCATATCCAGTCGCTCCTCTGCTGACCCGAGTGCTGAAAACCGGATTGGTGGTTCGGATTGAATCTGTCAACGAAATCAGGAGTTCCTATTCCTCGGCCTCGGATTGAAAAGCCGAGTAGTAAAAGAACAGCGGAATCTGGCAAAAATGTGAGTGGAATGTGATCCAGACTGCTCTGATGAGCATCAGTCAGTGGTGGCAGCTTCTTCTGCCGAAAGAGAAAGTCATAGAAAGCGTTAAACATCGATTCTTGCCATGATTGTCACTGCACTCGACAACTCTGTATGGCGTGCATGCACTTACTTGTGACAGCAAGGAGTGTGGGTTGTGGAGCTTTCAGGTCCAGAGTCCAAGGGACCTTCGGTTCGTTTAACCTGGGGACCAAATCATGAGGATCGTCACTCTCTTCTAAGCACGAGAATGAGGAGGGACTGGTTTATGCTGCTGCACACTTGTGCAGACTTTACCCACGAGTTGGAAATGAGGAGCTTAAGCGATCTCATCATAACTCGCTCACACCTTTTATGTTCGGATCTGGCTACTTTTCCAGCCGGCACCACGTCGGGCTCATGTATGAATCCTCAGCAGAGTCTTAATCAAGAGTAGTCACGTTTTTGTTCATTCACGATGAAAGTATTTGACCGAAGTTTGAAGCTCGGTGACCAGCTGCATGGGCTGAAAGCTTACAAGCCAATCCACATCCAAACAATTTTCGTTGGATGTGGATTCAAATAAAAAATCGATGGATAGTACATGAGATCCATTTCGTTGTTATTTGGCTAGTATGTCACTTTGTCTTTTCAGGCCAAAAAGTCCTTGAAAAGGTCTCCTTCCACTAGTGCTCGCCCACCTCGTTTTATCGACCCCGCCTATCGTCATCTCGTTCAGAAATTTTGTTAGTCTTCTGTCGACGATGATCCAGCGAAACACTTGATCTTTTTCTGTGCTTAAATTTTCTTCACACGCATGGCCATTTGTCAGCTTTTGGTGCAATACCCCCGTGCATATGTGTCAAAGTTTTGCCTCGATTCCAGCAAAAGAGAAGAATTGAATAAACACTTGCCAGGGAATCAAGGTCAGGGAAACTTTCGGAGCCAAAGTATTTATGTCCTGTGCTTACAACCCGTCGATGAAATCCAGTTTCAAAATTCCTACGTTAGCTTACACGCACCTAGCTACACCTCACCAATTCACGGCTGCAAAATGGGGAAGGTGTTTGGCTGGTGTCTTTCCTGAGATGCTCGTGTGATGGCTTCGAGTGGGTCCGCCACCTGCGGCCATATGACACTTAGATGCTTATTAAATACATGTTCTTCGTAGCTATTTTTAGAGATGATAGGTCAGGCTTATCAGTTTTCGTCGAGCTCGAGCTCGTCGGGAACTGAAGAATCTTCCAATTTGATGATGTGTGTGACTGCAGGAGCGAGGAAGATTTGTGTATCCAGTCGGTCAACCGTTCCACTAGAGCGTCCTGATGTATGACAGGAGATGTCGATAGCCACTCAGTAAGAAAATATGTCACCCGATTTGGTTTGGTGGTGAAACATGTGCGATTGGTTTGGATGATATACGTAATTCTGCTCCCTCCCTTCGAATCAAGGTCTCTCCTCTCCTCGCACTCAGAAGAAGCTCTGTAGCTTCTTGTGGCAGGTAGAAAATGCCAGAAATTGAGTTCGAGTAAAATGCAAGGAAGTAAGTTAGGGAGAAGGAAGCTCTTTTATTGAGAGAGTTTCCTTGAAACAGTTCACATGTTGCGTAGCTTCTTTTGCTTTATGAATCCTAACTTCCAAAACTCAAGATTGTAGAACGGGCCATGAAGCAGCTTCGAGAGAATTCAGAGCTTGTGTACACAATTCGTTCTACCATTTAGGGCACATCGATTACTTCGTTCGGTTCAATTTACAGGAAACTTGATCCCAGGCTCAAAACCATAGTTGAAACTTTTGATAGCTTGTTTGACTATACATGTTACCAGTCCAACACACACTGAATATCTTTATTTAGATCAAATCTACATTTTTGCCAAGAATCGTTGACCATTAATCTCGACATGCTGTAAACCCATATGGTCTTTGATTGCAATCGGAAACTCGTTACTCGTCACCCATTTGGTTTCATACATAAAGCTTGATGGGTTTGTACTTTTTGCTATCTACTTGGCCCACCGTCACTTGTATACCATATGAATTTGTTGGCTACTTATTACAGTAAGTGGTACAACTTGTGTAGAATCCGGTCTTTCTATAATTTTCACGAGGGGTACACATTATTCCCTTCTATCATGACATTCCGACGAAAATTGGACGTTATGGAATAAGACAAGAACGCTGTCACTTATAAAACAAATCGATGTTGCACTTCAGCCTAACATACATCTCCGAATAACATATGACCTTATATTTAAAATATGACTCTGATTTAGCAATATCCTTCATACGCAACAGAAGATCCATACGGGAGGATACTGTCTGACTCATGCATCCGGAGATTAATTGGAGGAAAAACTGCTTATAACTCATTGAGAAGAGTACAACACACAAGTTGATGTAATGATGGAAAATAGCCAGACCATTGGTCCGAAGTCCAACCAGTCACCGATTTGTATGGACTTCCTTAAGTGGTCCCATGACCTGGTTGGCTGTGCATCATTCAACTGTTCCTGATTTTCTGAGACCAGTCAGCGGGTAATGCTCTCCCGGACAGAGTACTGGCAAATGCTGGACATTGTGACATCTAACTTTATTCTACAAGTGGTGCTATTGGGCTAGCCCCAGCCTACAATTGGATTCATTCTTGTATGACTTGAGAACTTATTTCTAGTTTCTTTTACATTATATACTTTTCTTTTTCTTTTCTTCGTTGAGGTTAATATATATGGCGTCTTCCTAATAGTTTTTATTTCCACTTGGCCTCATTCATTTACATAAAACACCGTAAAAGTGCACATAGTGGAAAGATTCTGAAGCAATAATAAAACTAACGGGCGCTGTTTCAAGTGAAAATTTTACTTTTGCTTTTGCAGCATGCTTTCGTCTTTAGTGATGTCGATTCTCTAAGAGCACGAGTTGTGGTCATCAGTTTTTCTACGATGCAGGATCGGAGTCTTAGAAGCCTCCCCTAAACTTGTATAACTTGGCTTTGTGCAATGGAACCATCTGGATTGAAACGACCATGACCGGGACTCTGAACATTAGGCATATGCCTATTTGTGACTAATTTGTTTTGATTAGCACAAATCGTTAATAAAATTAAGCACAATTAGATATCATTGTTTACATAAATCCCAAAATAGACATTCTATCGATTTCAATTTAATTTTATATAATAATGATTCAATTTTAATAGTTTTATGAACAAATATATTTATGTTAAATTTATTTTATCAATTTCAACCTAAGCTTTTAACAAAAATAATTTAACTTAAAATATCTCTCAACTCTATAACAAGTGTATCTATTTGCCTGATTACCAAGTTTGGGACCTCAGCACAATCCACTCCATGAACTATTCTTATATGTATCTTACTCGTGTGTAGTCCTCACCATCTGTGCGACTCTCTCTTTCTTGGTCTCTATGAACTAACATAATATATAGCGACAATAACACAATCACGCGAATGAATTTTGCATGTATCTGAAGTGGGAATTATATCATTAAAAAAAACTATAGCCACTAAAAGGTGTCCACAATGGAATGATTGGTTGGAATTGCGAGAGTGACATCTTCTTGACGAAAGTGAGTCATCTAGAAATTTTTCGTTTTGAAATTACTCAAAGATTAGAGATTCAAGAGATTTGAAATTAGTGATATTAGGCGACTATTTTTAGATTGCCTAATATACATAGGCGGACCATGACTATTAACAGTTATGAAGACCAGCAAGCTAAGTTACATGTCTTAACTGAATAATATCGGCCGACGTAAATTTTAGATAACCAAAAAGGATGGTATTACCAAATTATCTTTACAATGTTGCTAGATCCATTACAACATATAAATACAACTATCTTATTGATAAAATCTTCCTATTCTATTTTAATTAATCTAAATGGATGTCGTAGACAGTGCCGGAGAGTCGGCTCAGATATAAACGTGCTCCAAAAACTCCATAAGCATGAGCATGATGAGGTGGTTACTAACGTAACGTGCAATGAGAGAGGAGATTAACAATGCAGTCCTGCCAAGCTGACCGCTAATGTCAGTTTAGAGTAAAACAAAAACGAGAAATACTAGTTTTACTTCTTTAGTCTCTGTATTTCGGACCTTTTGTTTTATATGATTTGATGTTTTCAAAATTTATCCACGTAATTATGGATTTTTCTGTCATGAGTGCGAAATAAGAAGATTGTTGAAATTCCAAATGTCTTAGAGCACTAAAGTCTCGATTGTAGATCAGTAGTCTACATCTTCTGCTATTGTGGAGCAGATTTTCATGCATATCACAATCATTCATAGTAGAAAATTTATTCATATAAATTTACTTCTTTTTTTCTAAATTTATTTAATTTTTTATGATGAATTTTAATTATGTATCTTCAAAGTGTAAAAGATTCATTCTTGCAAAACATTAGATTTTTGTAAATATATATTATTGTTGCTTGTTCTTAGGTTTCACAACATTTAAAATACTTCTTATTTTAGACGGTAAAATATATTGCATCATAAGTCAGTCTTTTATAACATGATATGTTTTTTCGATTTATCAATTACAATTAGGATTTTCTAAATATTAGAGATGCTCAAACTCTTCGTTTTGTGATTACAAAATAAATATTAATTCAAATCATGCTAATTTTATTTATTTCAAACACTATAGTTGATAGCATTATATATCATTGAAACCTTTTATATTCTAAATCTTTTTTCTACATTTGAAATTATGATCTTAAGGTTTTTTTATGTTCTTTATGTTTTTTCTGTTATGTAGGTTGTTATGGATCTTTATGTTTTGATTTCATCACTTCAATTGGACAAAATATCTCAACTTCAATACTTTTTTTCTATCTGTATAGAACGTGCAGGTCTTATAGACTAATTCAAGGTTTGTACAATAGCTTGGTTTAACATATGATACCAATTTGCGATCCATAATATGTTTTGTTAGCAATCAGATTATCGAATATTCATGATTAAATTGTATTCAACTGTAATAATACTAATCTAGTCAAATATCAATCGGTAGTTGAATATGTTGCTGTACTTAATAAAATCCTGATGAATTCTAACAATCTTCACAACGAAAAGTTTTTATCAAAAATACTCCATGAATAAGTTTTCATTCCATGCCATACTTCCAAATTTCCATAAGTTACATTCCATAAGTTTTATTATGATGAGGAGTGTTGAATTAGCTAATTTATCTTAATGTGCATATAAAAAACTATTTTACATGAAATAAATTTACATTTTGAAATTATTTTCATTAAATTATTTTTTAGATTATATTTATGTTATAATTTATTATTAATGTGAAAATTTAATTTAATTTTGTGACAATTTTTATTTCCAAATTTTAAAATTTTCTTGTTTCTAAATTTTTTAAATTTCTAAAAATCAATCATAACTACAATTTATTGCTTCTTCTTTTAGATACCATCGTACAAGTAATTTCACTCTTATTTGAGAACAAAATTTTCATAGATCTAACCTCATCAGAAAAACTTCAAAGTAGCAGTATGTTGTACTGTTCATCCATCTGCATCTATGTGTACATGCCCATATTTGATGCATATAAGAGGCATTGCTCGACTGCAACACAATGGACACATAGTAAATTAAATAAAGATTTGATGCTTTCGCAGGTAACTGCTACTTATTATCAAAAGTCTCAAGCCAGTAGAGTTGTACGGTGCATTAACATAAAAATTAGTCTGTGATACTCAGACTATAACTCGAGTTGTGGGATTGTTGCTACGATGTCAGATAAGCAGACAGAGGAGAAAAACATATTCTTCACTTTCGATCATGGAGATTTGAGGAGATGGAAGAAAGATTTGAAGTTCAAATTCTGCAGGAGAATATTTTTGCTCTTAGATTCTCACACTTTACCATCTCGAAAGGAAGCAAGAAAAAGAACTGAAATGCTTACAAAACAGAACTGAAAGTTTTTATTCACAGGGATGCTCTTAATGTTTATTCAAGGATATTATGAAACTTTTACGCAGAAAGTTTCTCGAGGAAGTTCTTCCAATTTTTTATGACACGATTAAAAGTGTAGGTATGTGAAATATGTGGCTACAGTCAGCGTTGAGGGAATTGTGAAAATGAATTTATTCACTTACGAATTCTCGTTGGTTACGTACTCTGTGCACTACAGTAACGGTTGAAATATGGCACCATGTCAGTGGAAATGTGCACAAATTTTCCTTCGTCTGTTGAGGCCTGAAGATTTGATTCCACGAGGACCTCTCTGAAAATCAGTCTCGTCGCATGCATTGGACTGGAACTTGTTCCGGCTCAGAGGGCGGAGAAGAATTCTGAAGTTCAAGTCCGGGAGTCGAGTCCGAGGCTGGCGCTTAGTGCAGGGGATCAATGTCGAGAGTAGGCATGTGGCATGTGGCATGTGGCAAGCATGCGCCCCAACGAAGGGTCCCGCCGGAGTTAGAGCGTCGGACATCAGCCGCCTCGGATTACAGCCTGTGGACATGACTGCCTTTGATTGTGAAATAGCTGGGAGGGTGGCTCGTTCGGTCCATCACCGTGGACAGGAACAGGGATGGATTCCCATCTGATCGCGGCATCTAATTGCGTGGCTCCTTGGGCTTCCATCAATTCGGGGCAACAATGCACCACATATCCGAACCGAGAGAACAGTGCGACAGCGAACCCACAGTCTCCATAGCTTCGTCATGAAATTCTGGCCGGTTTGAGTCTCTCTCACGGCATGAAATGACAACGAGGATCTAGTTTTCTTCGACGATCTAGCCAGTGCAGTTGATATGCCAGGTCCAGATGTATTCTGTTCATCGCAGATATAATTCAGTACAATCTGTACGTACTTGCCTCGTGGATCTCGTTCATTTCTCACGTCATTCGCTCAATGGCTGAGCTCGCCTCAGGTAATAACAACAGATTATCGTTGTCTTCACTAACATGTACTTAGTATGGCATAAAGTAGTTGATCAAGTTCTGATCAACTACTACATCAAGATGAATCGTTTCGGTTTCCTCCAATATGATTCGAGATAAGGAAGATGAGATGTCATCGATCTGAGGTAGATCTATCTTCTCACCGGCTTCAGTGAGAACGAATCTTAGTTGCTGCACACTTTTCTTCATTAATCACCGAAGATCGTTAGACTGCGAAGAAGACAGGGAAAATGTAGCGCATTAAGAAGAGCCTAATCAGAAGAGAGAGGTGTTTGATCCTGCGATCGAAAAAGCCGAACTTTACCGCTCATGTGGCGGTGCTCTGAATGCATTAACCGAACCTGATGAGAACAGAAGCTTACGCTATTTTATTTCTGCCGCAGAGCAGAAAATGCTGGGTTCATGAAGCGGATACGGGTAAATATACTGCCAAGAGTGTCTGCAACTTGAGAAGTTACTAAGAGCAGCTGAAGTATCAGGTGCTCGTGCGTTGGCGACACAATCTCCAATTGTGTCGCCAAGATCGGCGATTGCTCATTTGCCCAGTGGAACTGGTGAAAGATTTGGCTATTCAAGTCTTTCCAAAATTAGTTAAAGTTCAACTTTCATCCATACGACGCTCTGAGATGAAAAGTTGGCAGCATTATGTAGCTCCACTAAGCCCACGAGGGACCCTCCTCTAACCACTCATCAGGTGAGAACGTCCAACCCAGTGACGACGTGAGAAAGATAAGCATACTACATAATCGTACGTATGTATTCATCTTGAGATGCCATAGGGGCAAATATTTATTGTAAACATTCGCAGCTGATGCCAGTTATCCGTCAGAACAGTGGATGTTTCTTCCATGCGTGAATGCTAATGATAACCAATGGTCATTTGGGTACGCTCCATAGGATGAACTGTGCCTAGTGACTGTAGCAGGTGGCTGTTTCACAGGTGAAGCTCGAGGAAGGTATTCCAAAAGCTCGTGTTGCTGAAAGTCTTCTGGTGGGGACAAAGATGCACGACGTCCAAAAATTCCAGATCTGGTGATATCAAACGCCACTGTGGGGTGTCTGAGAAAGGACGAATGCAAAATCTTCTGAGGAACAATCACTGCCCCTTCCGAATCTTATGCTTTCTTGACTTTTCAGGATAGCCTTGCAGTGCAACCAATTGGGGTTTTATGAGCCGATGATGTGTGTACTAATTCGCAATATATATATGAAAGTTGCCTCAGGATGATGCCACGAAAAGTACCGTGGAGGTACACGGCGATCGATATAAGAACAAGGTTGGAACTCACCATCGGTGCCATTGTCTGACAAGTTTCATCAGATTTATGCCCAGTTGATATTTATTTCGTTACCTAATCATCACCGGCAAGAGGGACTTCTGGCCGTCTTTCTTTCTGGGATCTGAGCAATTTCTCGTGAAACCCCAAACGAAATTTCTTCGGCTCGCCGTCCCTTTCGCCTGAGAAATAAGAACCGGTAAAATAATATCCTGAATATCAGAGTAAAGTGCACGGTAGATCAGGTAGAATTATGACCTATTCTTACGATAGAGAACAAGATAGAGCTGGTATCTCGCTGTGAAACCCAAGGTACTCCATTGCAAGCGCGACAAAGGTGTCAAACTCGAGTCAAGAGCAGAGACTCCTGTCCGAAGGAATGTAACAGTTCTCCATGATTCCGACGGGACTCTACTGGGAAGTGAAAATAACTACATGCAAACGAGCTCATGGCGAGCTCATGGCGAGCTATCATTGCAGTGTCAGTCCATCTCGACCCATTGTCGGAATCTATTTGTAAGGGCTCTCGACTCGGTTCTGTATTTGCACGCCGGTTATGATTTTCTGCAGTTTATGCGATTATCACGCGAATGAAGAAGTCGGCAATTTCTTGCTTCGATTGTGGATAGGGGCATGGATTCATCTGCCTATGAAGGGGAGAAAAGAATTGATGCTTCAAACCCTCCAGTGAACACGGTCATCTTTTGCTGAAGACAGCATACAGAACGGGATGGAACAGAACCGATCATAAGGTTCACTGAAGCTGGAACAGGGGCAATATAGAATGGCCTTCTAAAGTGAAACAGGCTGGGGCCGAAATGCGCAACTTTGTCAACACAGGGGTCCACCGAGCTGCGGGGCCCACCGGGTCTAGCGATCGTACTCCGAAGGATCCACTGGTTCAGAGGCAGTGGAAGCCACCAATGGAGGAGTCGACTGCACTCTGGGTTAGAGACATGGAGTAGCCGTTTGAAGGAGAGGCAAATGTCGAGCAGTGTGCTGTCTGCTGGGGAGCAAGCAAGTGGAGGACGCATTGGTGACGCTCAGGTGGGCATTGTTGACGTAAGTGATTCTTTTCTTTCGCCATTTGACAATGTACATGTGCATCGGAATTATTGTGCACACTTGGGATGGTGCTCCTATTACAGAGTGGAGTTTGCGAAAGTGCATGTTTCCACTATATTCTATATATGCCGTGCTTTCTGAAAGCTGGATTCAGATAGGAATCCTCGTGAACACTTATGATCAGTTGAGAAAGTTGTTCAATTACGATCTGTTGACTCCTAACGTTGTCACGTACTGTGCTAAAGGGACCAGACCCGAAGTTGAACAAGTGACTAAGTATTGCGATTCGATTCCTTTCGCGTGAACTGCTGTACACCTCGACCTCTGAAACACGCCGTTGCAGCTCTCTGATCTTCAATGTTGCAAATCATCTGTTCTCTGGAAGTCATCAGTCTTCTTTTCCAGGCAGAATTTGCTGCCGACGAATTTGCTGTTCTCTCTGCAGTCCGTTTGATGCCCATTCATTCTGGGATGAAACATGGTCATGCGCCCTGCCGTTTCAGGGCGTAGGGAGTGGAGAGTTCCGTCTGAGTTCCTCTGGCTTACATCCAACTGCAAGTTCCACGTCGAGCCGGTGATGTCCTTGAGCCAGATTATCGACTGGCCTTCTCATGTTCGATCACCTTCCCCGTGTAGACCTCCACTGATCTCGCATGCAGACTTGTGCAGCAACATCTGGCACAATCGCATACGCCACAAGTCGGTACACAGATGTATGATGTCCATCGGTCGACGTTCTGCCGGAGATATTCCGGAGAACACGATCAGGACAGCGAAGTGTTGAGACTCGACCTCTCAATATAGTACATCCGCCGACTTGGAATTTCTGCCATGCTTATGATTCCACCGTGATTTGGATCCTCAGCGTTCACGAGTACGAATTCTGCCTTCCGCCAGAACCACAATTCCTCGTGCAGCACTCATCCCCTGCCACAGGGAGAAGTTTAGAATCCCGTTAAGGCTGCGAACGAACGAATGTAAGTTCAGATTCCGTCCAGATTCGTTCGGGTGAAGTTTGCCAATATCACAGAAGCTGCATCTCGAAAACAGATGAAAGACGAGTGAGCTTACAGAATTTTGCTGAAGCGCTAAAAGTGCCTCGGCATTCGGCAAGCCACAGAAGGCCCCGCAGTCTCCATCCCGGTGGGCGTTGGCCTCGGGGTCAGACTCATTCCCGTTTGTGGATGTGAGCCAAGGCGGAGTAGGATTGCTCGCATCGAAAACCTGAGGAAAGAAACAGATCAGCGCCATTCAGGAGCCATTTAAAGAATATACTAGAGCTGAGGGCCTGAGAAACATTGACCTGTCTCAGAGCTGCTGCTGCTTCTTCTTCTAGTAATACTGGTTCTACTGGTAGTGATATTGTCACCATGCACACTGCAGACCCACGAGCTGATGCATGCGCAGCGAGCAGTCAATTCAGAAGGAGGAGGAGAATGGTTCCAGAGAACTCACATCGTTATAATCCGCCATTGTGAGCTTGGAGGAAGGAACCGGTCAAGGAGCACAAAGGAGCACAAAGGGGGAGCGGAAGCGAATTGACTCGCAGCCCCGGAAATGGAAATGGACATGTGCGGCGTGCGGGCGGGAGCCTTGGAGCACACGTGAAGAACGTTGAACAATATCACCAACTCTGAGCTAGCTCCGATAGACTGACTGGAAGCTCTTTTAGTCAGGACATAACTAGCCGGGAACAGAAGCATTTGCTAGCGCTAGATCCTCGTCACGCAAGCCCGCTGACGACGACGGCCATCAATCAATCAGCTCGAGCTGGGCCGGCGAATTACGCACCGAGTAAGTAAGTAGTACTCGAGAGCACACTACACCGAGCCCGTTTCAGACCATCGCCTTCGAGCCGGTTGCATCTAGCGCCGCTCTATTCTATCCTGGCTCCATGGACCGGATCCGGCAGATGGGCAATGGAGCAACCAAGTGCACTATATAGCCAGCTCGAGGATTTGTGACGGCACAAAATAAAATATCGTTCCCGGAGGCCCCCCCCCCCCCCCCCCCCCCCCCCCCCATCCGATCCATCATCCGTCCCTGATTCCGACATTCGTTGGTCTGGTGGGGCTGGGTAGCCAAGCAAATGTCCCTGCGCAAAATCGTTCGGGATGGAGTCGGCGGCTACGACCTGCGACCTCGCTGACTCTGTGTGTGCGCTGAGTTTGAATCGATGTCGACGATTAACGACAAATGATCTACAGTTGACTTCGTGCCCATGTCTGCTGCTTGGACTCCCTGGGCTCGCTCGAGTGACGAAGCCCCGCCCGGGTACGAATTTCTCATTCGCTCATGACTTTGTCGTTACGTAGTCGGACGTCGTCGGACGCCCAGCAAACAAAGTCCCGGGCACGAATAAAATAAGCTGCATGCACGAACCAACCCAAGCGTGGTTCCAGTCGACTAGAGTTGGTGGGTACTTTAGAATCCGGACAAGTGTCTACATTCCTTGGAGCCATAAAATAAAACTGCTTTTGGATGAAACCTTAAAGCAGCTCTCGGACGCCGGATGGAATCTTTGGTGGGTGCTAGCTGCTTATGCCTTGTGTACGGCTCCGGCCTCCATGAACGCAGGATGTCACCGGATTCTCCCCTGCCCCTGCGGCATCACTCGCTGCACAGCAGAACCCTGCTTCAGTTCCAGTTTTGAGTCCTGAATCTCGGCATCCTTTTTCCATTTTTAATCGATCGAAGTTTGTTTCGCAATGCCGGAAAGGTACCACCGGTTGGAATATTCTGGCTAATCTAGTGGGGCGGGGCTGGCGGCAGCTCTGGTCTTGACCTGTTCGTCTGTACTTGTTGTGGGAGCAAGTTTGGAGCAGCACTTGGGGCCAGATCCAGCTCACTCAGATTCAGTTCGGTACTTCGTGAAACCCATCCGTTCATGTCTACGAGCACAACCTTATTATAGCCACCGAGATGCTCGACCGTCTGTTCTCGTAGTACCTCTGCTCGAGCATTTCTTTATTCTCCCCCCCTACGCAGTACTGCAGCCTCCTTGCCAGGGCCTTGACCCTCGATGGCCCCATGGCCGTCGAGTCAGCTTTATCTCGCGAAGCAGCAGCAGCAGCGCGGTAACAGTCTCCCTCCCGCTTCATACGTGAGACCTCGGAATCTGTAATATGAATTTCGCTAAATGGTTAAAACTCTTCGTGGAGTTTCCACTTTTTATTATGCGGATAAGTTGGGGGCCGAGATTCGGAATGGCGATTTCAGCCACTCGGCTCGTGGGAGATTATGGCGTGACTTTAGTCGACTGTGGAGCTGCTTGTTCGTATTCTGCTTTGACTGCGGACTCGCAGTTTCGATCCGGGGCCAGGACTCATGGATCAGTTTCCGTCAATCGCATAAGCGGCGGCTAATGTCTGAAATAAGCCGCCGCTGGGAGACACGAAGCTCAGTCTTCGATGGCTAGTCTCGTAAGCCCGTGTCTCCAACGTGCAACGACAGTCCAGACTCCAGCCCGTTCTACGAGATCTGTTTCTCGAAAACACTGTTCCAGAACGAATTCCACCATGTGTTGGAATTGCTGAGCTGATCGGCAATATATAATGCTGATCTATCCATGACTAAGACATCATTACGTGAATGTACTCATTCAGATCACATTTTCCAGTTCCGAATCCGCAGGCTTTCCCTTCAGTCCTTGAGATTTGGGCGTATTTCGCCTCATTTCGAAGATTTCAATAGGCCCTCTGCCAATTCGAAGCGACTCCATCTTCCCGGAGACATACTGTCTAGCGCGTTCGACCTACTGACTGAGCCCCAATCCGCGCACCATTGCACAGTCTAAACAATGACTGACTACAACAATGTACGTTTACCTGGCATCATTAAGACTTTCCTTCATTGCAGAATCGAAGTGATTGTGGCTGTCTACTTGGTCCCGGATTGTGAGACGCTTATTTGACAGGCCCTCGTTTGGATTCTCAGGTCTTCGGTGATGATTCCAGTCCCCCATGGCTCACTGCCTCTCAGGAGAATGAAGAAGGACAGGGCAACCAATTGGTGCCTACATGCGATGTTCTCATCCTCGGATTGGGTTTGGCGACTCAGGTATCTAATAAATAATGCTCACAAATTTGCTCGGTCATTGGGAAAAATCCAGAATGTTTAGAGGAAAGGAACTCTGTAGGTCTGAAAATTTCCTGCTCATCGATCATGCAATTCGATATCTAGAACGGTCTCTGAACATCGACATGTCAATGCAGATAATGTGCCCTGAAGGTCGCACGAACAAGTTCGTCTCAGCAGCCAAACATGGTCAACAAGTACGGAGTGGCTGAGGGCTCGAACCATGGCGGCAGTGCGCAGGAATTGCAAAACACTGCAGTACTTGTTAAGGACTTGAGAGGAGCATTGACCTGAATACCAAATGTACCTCCAAGTTCCTTCAACAACTCGAACGTGCAGGAGATAACATTCCATAGGAAACTTATCTCCGACCACATGAGGAGCACAGCTTGAGAAACACGCGAGCAGCTACTGATCGATCATCCCTGACCTCACCAGCTTCGCTCAAGCATAAAATAATTCTAATGCCGGTCAGTCCAAAGTTTTCACCACGACCAGGATCGTGAAGAGTTCAGAAGTATGGAGGTGGGAAGAGAGCATTCCCTCTTGGCAGCCTCATAACGGTACCGGCTGTGACCTCAGCACGCAATGGAAAAAACGATCTGGGCAACCGGCTGAAAGTCAGCAGATTCAACGCTAACAGCTTGCCAACAGCTCAGGAGAGAAGAAGAGACCTATTCGTCCAAGGAATCGGCTAAACATGGAAAAGGGAATGCCGGAATCTGGATACAATCTCCGACGACTCGTCACCAGCAAAACTATCCAATCTGATCTACAAACTGCATTGCCACTTGGTCCCGTTCAGGACTGCTACCGGCGGTAGGTCTGTGGTGCATAGACTCTGCCGCTGCGGCTGTGGCTGAGAGGCCAGCGCAGGTCCGAGGGTTCAAATAAACATCACAGGTCCACTTCCTCTAGCCCGCCGCCAGCATGGCCTACGTGCGAGAGCCTACCGGTCCGAGCATATATGCTGTATGTAGGTCGAGTAACGTGCAATGGGCAAATTGTCTCCCTGAAGGGGTTTCGCCCCGTTTCCCAAATGTTCCAGTTCTCTGAGAGAATGGGAACATTTTGGACAATGCGCAGTGCTAGTTTCAGGAGGCTGTCATGGAAGATATGCAGTCAATTAGCTTTTACAGGCTAGCAAATCTAACGGAACTGAAGACTCTGCCATTGAGAATGAAATAAGATTAAAATTACAGCTGTTTGTTCACGTTCTTTACTCACTAACAGAGCCTGTCAAAGACCAGATATGGTAACGTATCGACGCGTTGTACGCATCGACTCATCTTAGTTCCAGTACAGATTCTCAGAATGTGTATAAAATTGTCGTTTTCTCCACGTGGAACTTTGTTAACCCATTTGCAAACTCGTACATGAGAACTGAGACCTCACAATCTCGGAGTGCTGCATGTCCATATATTGGATGGAGTATGTAGAACGCTTGAGCAATGATCATTATGTCAATGAGTACTCACCTATTTAGTCTATATATTAGTAATTCCCGCGAGGAGTTCTCACCACGAGACTTTCACGAAGTCGACTAGCTTCCTACCCTAGCATAAAACTTCGTCATGCCTTCCTCATCATCAAGTATAATGACCATTGCATGAGATTCATGAAGCCTCCCTCAAGTTGCTAGAGTCCAAACGCCAAGCAGCTGGCTGTGCATCAGCATTTTTTCTTGTCGGAAAACATCTACTGATCGATCGAAACAGTATCACACTCATGTCCTTACTTTTAGCAACAAGTGCGAGTAGAGGAGTCTACGGTAATTATTGTGGAGGGAAGAACTGATCTTGAGCTGTTTCCAGCCGAGAAGTATGCTTCGTTCACGAGAAGCAGGTGACAGCTCACAAGGTAGCCAATACCGATCCTCACTAATATCTGTTTAGAATGTCATTGACTAACTGTGACATCCCGAAATTATCCTCGATTACTGTGACTCATACTTGAATCCACACATATCTGCGATGAAGCATGACGATATCAAGACCCAAAATAATCATCTTCATTCTGAAAAAGCCTACTTGCGTGTGATCATCAGGTTCTCTGAATACTGAAACAAGAAAATAGTATCAATCAGAGTCACTTGTAAATTAGAGATGCGAAGAATTAATTGGATGAAGAATCTGAATAGAATTTCGTTTGTAAGGTGGCCCATCTTCAGGAACTAGACTCTCTGCATATCCAGTTCTTTAACATGCAGAGAGTAACTTTCACTATTGATTTTAGCTCTGAGCTTTTGACTCGAGCTAAGATTTGTACCTTTTCAATGCTGTACAAAAGCTTACA